CGCTGTGGATTTAGGACGTAGGGTTTAGGGTTTAGGTTTTAGGGTCCAGGGTTTAGGGTTTACCCTAAACCCTGAACCCTAAACCCTAAACCCTGAACCCTAAACCCAAAGCCCTAAACCCAAAGCCCTGAACCCAAAGCCCTGAACCCTAAACCCTAAACCTTGAATCCTAAACCCTAAACCCAAAGCCCTGATCCCAAAGCCCTGAACCCAAAGCCCTGAACCCAAAGCCCTGAACCCTGAACCCTAACGGCCTTTGGACATTCAGGATCGCAAACCCTAAAGCCCAAGCCCGCGTGGTACCCAGAGGGTTCAAAGTACCTATCTATTTAGGGTTCAGGGTATTAGGGTTTAGGGAAAAGACACAAATACGTCCTTTAAGGGTTTAGGGTTTTAGGGTTCACTTTAGGGGTTTAGGGTCTTAGGGTTCCTTTAAGGGTTCCTAAGCACCTATATAGTAATAGAATGTAGGGTTTCTATATTAGGAATCCGTATCATGATTTGGGCAAGTATAACCTACAAGTATACCAGTACCGAGGACCCTTTGGGGTATAGATCTAAGATGAAGCCGAAAGGAGTAGCATTGGCTATTGTGAAGTCTTCTGTACTGTACTGAGCCCCTAAAACCTGCTGCGGGTTTTCAGTAGAGCGCTACAGAGGCGATCTTTACCAGTCAGGCTCAAGTGGATTTAAGATTAAAGCTTTAAGCCCCCCCCAAACGGGTTTTAGAGTTTGGGTTTAGGGTTTAGGGTTTAGGGCTTAGGGTTTAAACCCTAAACCCAATGCTGTCGGCCTGTAGAGCTCAACAGCCAAACCCCCAGAATTCAGACGGGAGGGGCCTTCATAATTTGTCTAGGGTTCCAGGTTTAGGGTCGGGGTTTAGGGCTTAAAGAGGGTTTAGGGTTTAGGGTTTAGGGTTTAGGGTTTAGGGTTTAGGGTTTAGGGTTTAGGGTTTAGGGTTTAAATCAGGGCATAAAGAGTGCTCCAATACAAGAACATAAGTACGTAGGGGGTGAGCAGGGTGTACTATACCAAAACCGGCGGCTTGTGAAGACAGCCGAGAGTCCAGCAGCAAGCGATTCAGAGCTAATGGCCTGACCGCAAGGGGAGAGCGTAGAGGATGTTGGCAATAGCTACAGTAAGGCTGTGGGCAAAAGTAGATTACATACTCGGCACTATAGACGGACGCTATTGCTAATTCTTCTAATCCCTTATTGCGCTGGGCCTTGGGTTATTACAAGCTACTCTGAGCCTGATAGACTCTCAAGCCCAAGGTGAGCACTCATGAGTGAGGGTAGAAGGTGTCGGCGCTGCCTTTGCTGACGACGCTAGTATAGGGGTCTTAATGATTAGAATAAGGTTTTGGGGTCCTTTATAGCATGTTTATAATGAGGAATCCCCAAAATAGTATAGGTAATTATAAAGGCCCGAAGATTATTGCACTGAGCGTTCAGGATCTTAAGGTCTAGGGTGCAGGCTGTAGGCTTCAGTTCGGGGTTTGGGGCTTAAGGTTTAGTTAGGGTTTCGGGTTTTAGGGTTTAGGGTTTGTAGCCTTCACTTCAGGGTTTACCTGTAGTCTCCATTGTAGTTCCTTTCTTTGGTTTAACCAACTAGAGATTAAGGATTTTTACAAGGTATCCCAAAAAAGGAACAACAATGGAGACTGTAGGTAGGGCGTTGAGGAGTATAGGGGTTGATTTGAGGGTTCCCTTAGCCCTTTGAGGCTCCTCTTGCGGTTCAGGGCTTAGAGTTTAGGGGTTTAGGGGTTTAGGGGTTTAGGGTTTGGGAGGGTTCCTTGTTATTGTTGGCTTTGGCAACCCTGAACACTGGAATCACACTTACTGAGCATCTGTAGTCAGAACTATCACAACCAGGACTCCCCTAAACCCTAAACCCTAAACCTGCCTATAGTCTCCATTGTAGTTCCTTTTGGGGGATACCTTATAAACTCCATAATATATAGTTGGTTAAACCAAAAGAAGGAACTACAATGGAGACTATAGGTGTAGTCGGAATTCTCAGGAGTCCCCGATGGCCGTGCCATGCAAACCCATCTACTCTAAGACCCACGTCGGAGCTAACGAAAATTGTCGGACCTCACGTCAGGGATCCTCTTATCAGATCCTGCTGGTTTAGCATTTAGGGTTTTGGGTTTTGGTTTAGGGTTTAGGGCCTGTATGCAGAATCGCATATGCTCGGAAACCCATGCAGACTGGCTGCAGAGTCCTCAGCAAGCATGTCCTACCTGGCACATAATGCGTGATTGTGGCCCCAAAGAGAATGGTACAACAGAATTAAAGACGGAAAGGTTATCCCAAACCCTAAGACCCTAAACCCAAATGCTTCCTTGTGTAGAACACTCTAAACCCTAAACCCTAAACCCTAATGCTTCCTTATGTAGAACACTTTGGAGAACAACTAAAGCCCTAAACCCTAAACCCTAAACCCTAAACCCTAAACCCTAAACCCTAAACCGTGTCTCTATTTGCAGCACGAAGGCCCCTGTAGTGCGTGAAGTCGACAGAGATTGGGTTGCCGCACGCTACAGCAAACAAAACCAAAGGTAAAACCCAAGGTTTAGAGTTTAGGGTTTAGGGTTTAGGGTTTAGGGTTTAGGGTTTAGGGTCCTTAAAGCCTGAATCAAAACCCTTCTAAAACATTTCTACTTCTGCATTTATCTGGACGACATTTCGGTATCTAAAATACCCTAATCCCTGAAGCAGCACCCGAAACCCCAAACCCTTAAGCCGTGTCCCGATGCACCTGCTAGACATTGAAGCAACCAACGAGAAAACAGTCTAAAACTTCTATTTCATAGTGGTTCATTCAAGGAGCAAGTCCAAAAGAAAAACATTCCTAAACCCTAGATCCTGAACCGTAAACCCTAAACCCTAAACCCTAAACCCTAAACCTCTAAACCACAGGCCTGAGCTTCGCGGCCAGGAGGGCCAGCAGCAGCCAGCATGGCAGCCGCAGTCGCATGGGCAGCTCTCTAAGTTAGGGTCCCTTTTCAGGGTCCTTTTTTAAAGGGTGCCGTACTATATTGGGGACCTAACAAGGGACGCTAGTTTAGGGAACTCCCCACATGAAGACTAAACCCTAAACCCTAAACCCTAAACCCTAAACCCTAAACCCTAAAGCCCTTTTAAGTCCCCCCATAAACCAAAGACCCTAAGAGGGACCCTAATTTGAAAACTACAGTACCCGAATACTTCCTGGTTTGCCAGGTTGCATCTGTCTCTTCTCTCGCTAGATAGATAGACTCAGACAGATATGTAGATAGATAGATAGATAGATAGATAGATTGATAGATAGATAGATAGATAGATAGAAGGATAGATAGATAGATAGATAGATTGATAGATAGATAGATAGAAGGATAGATAGATA